CAAGTTTCTTGGACAAAATTTTGGGAAAAGACACATGATTTTTCCCTCATGTTCTAGGTATTCAATGGTATATTTAAATTCCAGGTAATGTCTGAAGGTGGTCCCCAGCCACAATCCATCATTCATTTCTCCATCAGTAATCAGACTGTGGCTGTTGTTAATAGGAAGGGGCAAGTTACAGGGAAGATGGTTGGCACAGCTGTGGTTCATGGCACCATCCAGACAGTAAATGAAGATACTGGCAAAGTCATTGTGTTTTCCCAGGTATTGGTTATTTGTTCTGCTCTGCTTCTACTCTTCTATCCTGGAACCATATTGGGTGAGATGGGGAGGGAACGGTAATGAGGAGGGTGTCAACAGCCCAGGAAAAGCCTTTTAGTGCCCCCATCTGGCATTCTGTCAACCAGGCATGGAAAATATTTCATCTTTAGTTAAAACTCCACAGAGTAGTTGGCATTGTTATAAGATATGGTCCCCATCCTTAAAGAATTCTTTGAAGAAGAGAAAAAGAAATACATCTATCTAATAGGGTAAATGGGGTATCCACCACCTCAAGCATTTATCCTTTCTATGTTACAGAAATCCAATTATACTCCTTAGTTATTTTTAAATAAACAATAAGTTATGGTTGACCGTAGTCACTCTCTTGTGCTATCAAATACTGGATCTTATTCATTCTATCTAACTATATTTTTGTACCCATTAATCATCCCCATTTCCCCCCTACCCACCCACTACCCTTTCCAGCCTCCGGTAACCATCATTCCACTCTTTATGAGTTCGACTGTTTTAATTTTCAGCTCCCACAAATATATAAGTGAGAACATGTGAAGTTTGTCTTTGTCTTTCTATGCCTGGCTTATTTCACTTGACATAATGATCTCTAGTTCCATTCATGTTGTTGCAAATAATAGGATCTCATTCTTTTTATGGGTGAACAGTACTCTGTTGTATATATGTACCACATTTTCTTTATCTATTTGTTTGTTGATGGACACTTAGGTTGCCTCCAAATCTTGGCTATTGTGAATAGTGCTACAATAAACATGGATAAGATTTTTTACTGAATGTCAAAAACAATAACAAACTGGTTATCATAAGGATCTCTGTCCGCCCCACAGAAACTCCCTGTTAGCCTAAGCTTGCTCTCTACCCTGTTGAGCAGGATGAAGTACAGATTGAAGTTGTTCAGCTAAGGGCTGTTAGGATCCTTGCAGCTGCAACTCGGCTCATCACAGCTACCAAGGTCAGTATAATGGCTGTGTTCAGGGCTCATTATTCTGATAATTGCAACTGGGTAGGATACATAGCACAATGCCACTATTTCTTTTCAGATGCCAGTCTATGTCATGGGAGTTACCAGTACCCAGACCCCTTTCTCCTTCAGCAATGCTAATCCTGGGCTCACATTCCACTGGTCTATGAGCAAAAGAGATGTATTGGATCTAGTGCCCAGGCATTCAGAGGTAAGAATTTATCTGTTTATTATGTTAGCATAGAGATCTTGACATTAATTTTATTTTATCATAAGTTTTTTTTTGTTTTGAGATGGGGTCTCACTCTGTCACCTGAGCTGGAGTACAGTGGTATCATCTCCACTCACTGCAACCTCTGCCTTCCAGGCTAAAGTGATCCTCCCACCTCAGCCTCCCAAGTAGCTGGGACTACAGGCACATGCCACTATGCCTGGATAATTATTTTGTATTTTTTTGTTGAGATGGGGCTTTTTTGCCTTGTTACCCAGGCTGTTCTCAAACTCCTGAGCTTAGGTTATCCACCCACCATGGATGGCCTCCCAAAGTGCTGAGATTACAGGCATGAGCCACTACTCTCCGCCTATCATAAATTTTAGACTGATTACTCACTCTCTAAACTATACAATATTATTACTTATTTACTTTGCCTATTGTTCTCTGAACTCTGGAAACCTGCAAAGCAATAAAGAATCCAAATTTGAGTATGCAGATAATACTGTATGATTTTTTATTTTTATGTTTTTGCTGGAAAGAGCTCTCAAAAGTGATCTTTAATATTGTATTTATTATATAATGTTATTGTAATAATGTATTTGTGAGCAGATGACTATATTAGATGAGTAACACTATGAATATAAAGTATATATGCATAGAGTTTAAATATATAATTTTTACTGTTTTATGTTGAGACACATTTGATTATATTCATAATCATGTTTGTGGTACATGATGGGTGATTACATTAACAGTAAGAAATGTGGAGGGCTACAGATGGCATTGCTCTGTTTAGCATGTTCGTGGCCCTCCCTACTTAGAACTAGGGAAGAACTGGATCCCCATGTCAGGCACTGCAGGTACCATGAGGCTATAGTTGCCCACCAACTGGCAACTGATTCTGGACTGGGTATCTTATATCAATGACAAATTTAAGAAGAGTGATTAATTAAAAGACTGGGCGCAGTGGCTCACTCTTGTAATCCCAGCACTTTGGGAGGCCAAGGCGAGCAGATCACCTGAGGTGGGGAGTTCAAGACAAGCCTGACCAACATGGAGAAACCCCGTCTCTACTAAAAATACAAAAATTAGCCAGATATGGTGGCACATGCCTGTAATCCCAGCTACTCAGAAGGCTGAGGCAGGAGAATCACTTGAACCCGGGAAGCAGAGGTTGCAGTGAGCCAAGATCACACCATTGCACTCTAGCCTGGGCAACAAGAGCGAAACTCTGTCTCAAAAAAAAAAGAACGGTGATTAATTAAACTGCCCCTCCATTGTTCCCTTTGGTATCTAGTGGGGTTGGCTCTTCCCAGTTCACTACCTGCTGTGTCTGGAACCACAGAAGACCTCAGGATGGACATCTAGGATATCCACAGTTCAACTTGACAGTATATCTCTCTGAAAAAAAAAACTTCGATGTTTTGATGTACATAGCATTAAACCTCACACTGAAACCTGAAAAAGACCAAAAAAAGAAAGTTTGGGAGAAACTACGTAAAGTTTACTACAGACAAATTTTACATAGTTCAATGAAACTCACCCAAGGTGGTTTGAGGACAGTGGCAACAGCTAGGTCTGGGTTTTACCTTAGGAAAAGGGACCTGGGGCCATGAGACCCAGCAGGTCACAATTCAGTGCTCATGAGAACAGATAATTAGAGTTGTATCTTGGGAGATAATAGAGGGGTTACAGGAGCTAGAATGAGGAGGATATTTCTGTAGCCAGCTAAAAAGAAAAGAGAACTTTGGAAAAAGTAAAAAATATATATTTGTAATCTTTCTAAAAATATCCTTAACCTATAATTTAGGGAGACTCTGGTGGTTAGATCTTCTGTTTGTGACTTCCCAGAGTCTGGTTATACTGGAATTGTGAAAGAATGGAACTGTCCTTAGTTTGATATAATTTAGCACAAGGATTTGGCTTTTTTCTTTTCTTTATTTTTTATTTTTTTGAGACAGAGTTTCGCTGTTGTTGCCCAGGCTGGAATGCAATGGCGTGATCTCGACTCACTGCAACCTCCACCTCCCAGGTTCAAGCGATTCTTGTGCCTCAGCCTCCTCAGTAGTTGGGATTACAGGTGCCCACCACTACGCTCAGCTAATTTTTGGTATTTTTAGTAGAGACGGGGTTTCACCATGTTGGCAAGGCTGGTCTCACACTCCTGACCTCAGGTGATCCACCCACCTTGGCCACCCAAAGTGCTGGGATTACAGGCATGAGCCACCATGCTCAGCGGGCTTTTCTCTTGAATAATAAACAGGAGTGTGCGAAAGGAGGGAATGGCCTAGGCCTTGGCCTCTATTCTAGTTCTCGCTTTCTTTAATTAGTTTTAATCTAAAGCATCACTCTTCTCTCCAGCAGAAGAAATGATTGAGAGCCATACAGACTTTTACTTTTCCTGCCTCAGATCTAGCGTAGGCAAATTGGGTAATGAAACGGGCTATAGAAAAGCCTTCATGAGGCCTGTAATCCCAGCACTTTGGGAGGCCAAGGTGAACGGATCACTTGAGGTCAGGAGTTTGAGACTAGCCTGGCTAATATGATGTAACCCCGTCTCTACTAAAAATACAAAAATTAGCTGGGCGTGGTACCACACACCTGTAATCCCAGCTACTTGGGAGGCTGAAGCAGAATGGCTTAAACCTGGGAGGTGGAACTTGCAGTGAGCTAAGATCACACCACTGCACTCCAGACTGGGTGACAGAGTGAGATTCTATCTCAAAAAAAAATAAATAAATAAAAAGACCGGGCACAGTGGCTCACACCCATAACCCAAGCACGTGGGAGGCCGAGGCAGGTGGATCACTTGAGCCCAGGAGTTCAAGATCAGCTTGAGCAACACGGCAAAACCCTGTCTCTACCAAAAATACAAAATTAGCTAAGCTTGGTGGTGCACACCTGTAATCCCAGCTACTCAGAAGGTTGAGGCAGGAGGATTCCTTGAACCCAGGAGGCAGGGGTTGCAGTGAGCTCAGATTGCACCACTGGACTCCAGCCTGGGCAACAGAGCAAGACCCTGTCTCAAACAAAAAAGTCTTCATGGGCTGGGGTGCAGTGGCTCACAGCTGTAATCCCAGGACTTTGGGAGGCCGAGGTGGGTGGATCACTTGAGCCCACGAGTTTGAGACCAGCCTCAGTAACATAATAAGACCCCATCTGTAAAAAAAAGTTTTAAAATTAGGTAGGTGTGGTGGCACACACCTGTAGTCGTAGCTACTTGGGAAGCTGAGGCAAGAGGAACACTTGAGCCCAGGAGGTTGAGGTTCCAGTGAGCCGCATATACACCATTGTACTCCAGCCTAGAAGACAAAGTGAGACCCTGTCTGTCAAAAGAAGCTCACAAAAAAGAAACTGATTTCATCACTTCTATTCTTCTTTCATTAAAAAAAGAATTGACTTTGAGGTAACATAAAAAAGAATCTTAGGGAGGCTTGCCAGAATTAATTGAGCACTACAAACAGAGGTTTACTTTAGGGTAACTATGCTGCTGGGAATATGAAATCTCTAAGAAAACAATCTCTTGTACACTATTTCTCCTCCTCCTCCTCCTGTTCTTCTTCTTCCTTCTTCTTTTTCTTTGTCTTTTATTCTTTCTTTTTTTGATACAAGGTCTTATTATATTGCCCAGGATGATCCCAAACGTCTGTGCTCAAGCAATCCTCCTGCCTCAGTATCACAAGCAGCAGGGATTGCAGGGGTGTACCAATATACCCAGCTCTCTAGTTCTTCTAGAAAGCTATTTCCAACATAAGTTTTCCTTATTGTTACAATAAATAAGGAAAGATTAGCCAGGCATTGTGGAATGTGCCTATTGTTCCAGCTACTTGGGAAGCTGGGGCAGGAGGACCATTTAAGCCTAGGAGCTCCAGGCTACAGTGACCCATGACTGTACCACTGCACCTCAGCCTGAGGCATAGAGCGAGATCCTGTTTCTAAAAAACAAGTAGTGCTCACTTTGGCAGCATATCTACTAAAATTGGAATGATACAGAGAAAATTAGTATGTCCCTTGCACAGGGATGACATGCAAATTTGTAAAGTGGTCTATATTTTTTGAGAGGTAGAGAGAGAAGTCAGGGTAGAAAGTTTATTCAAAGGGATAATAACAGAGAACTTCCCAAACCTAAAGAAAGATATCAATATTTAAATATAAGAAGGTTATAGAACACCAAGCAGATTTAATCCAAGTAAGGATACCCCAAAACATTTAATAGTCAAACTCCCAAAGGTCAAGTATAAAGAGAGGATCCTAAAGCAGAAGGGAAAAGAAACAATATACAAAGGAGCTCCAATATGTCTGGCAGAGGACTTCTCAGTGAAAACCTGATAGGCCAGGAGAGAATAGCATGACATATTTAAAGTGCTGAAGGAAAAAAAACTTTTATCCTAGAATTGTATATCCAGTGAAGTTATCCTTCAAAGGAGAAATAGTTTCCCAGAAAAGCAAAAGCTGAGGGATTTCATCAACACCAGACCTGTCCTACAAGAAATGCTAATGGGAATACTACAATCTGAAAGAAAAGGACATTAATGAGCAATAAGAAATCTGAAGGTACAAAACTCACTGGTAATAGCAAGTACACAGAAAAACACAGAATATTATAATAATGTAATTGTGGTGTATAAACTACTCATATCTTGAGTAGAAAGACTAAAAGAAGAACCTACTAAAAATAACTACAACTTTTCAAGATGAAGACAGTATAATAAAATATAATAGAAATAACAAAAAGTTAAAAAAAAAAAAAAGGAGAGATACAGTGTAGAGTTTTTATTAGTTTTCTTTTTCCTGATTGTTAATTTGTGTGTTTGTACAATCAGTGTTAAGTGTCATCACTTTAAAGTAACAGGTTATAAGATGTTATTTGTAAGCCTTATAGTAACCTCAAATAAAAAACCTACAACAGGCTAGGCATGGTGGCGCACACCTATAATCCCAGCACTGTGGGAGGTTGAGGCCGGTGGAATTCTTGAGCTCAGGAGTTTGAGACCGGC